TGCTCTATTTAGGAGCTGGTTCTGGCTCTTTATCAATGTAACTGGGAGTAAATTTCAGGATTTGGCAGGGTCCAGTGCTCTGGAACCTCAGAGGAGATGAGGCTGCATTGTTATGCACTCCTTGTTATGGCTTGCTGCCAGCTGGGGCGGACAGTGTGAGCTGTAACCCAGTGCTGTCACGGTACAAACACTGTAGTGCATCTCTTTGGGATGTTGTGCAGCTGAAGGACTCTGCAAGCATGCCCCACAGCTTGCTGAGGCCAGGATGTGTGTTTCACAGAGGCCTTGTGGTCACACTGCATCAAACAATGATCAAGGAAGAAATAAGAAAATTTAATTCAAATATTTAGCTAATTGCATCTCTGTTTTGGAAATACAGTATTTATGTTACAGGACATTGTAATTTAAGGCTTGCCTTCTGTGAATTTACTCTGGGACTGTTTTCCAGTACTTTATCCCAGAGTATGAATCCAATGTGCTAGTGCTCTTTTCCCAGAAAAGGGGTATATCCTTCTGGCATAATTCGACCCATTTCAAATTAACAAAGTACTCTTATTTTGGAATAAGGCTGGACTGTCTTAGAGTTTTTCAAGACGACCTAATTTTTTTCTGAATTCAGTATCTAATTTGGAGACTACTTTCGAGTATAGGCAGTCTGGTTAGGTATTTCAGAGGTGTAAGGAAAATGATACCTATTCTGAGGAGTGATGCCCTAATTGTTGTGCCAACTTCTACCTGCACTCAGGTAACATGAAGCTTGACAACCTCTGAGTATGTTGCAAGTTCCCACATGGGAGCAACCTGAGCTTTCTGGCCATTGAAGGGAATACTGTGACAACACTGATAATCGAATATCCAGTTATCTTCATTCCACTTTGATTTGCACAAAACAAAACCAAATTAACAACATAAATACACAGAAATATCCAAGAAGCATTTTCACTAAGAATACAAGATCAGACTTCATGGATTTCACTGCATATTGTGCCATAACCATTGAAATTCTGTGGATGTGTTTCAAACATTCCAAGACCTTTGTTTCTCCTGGCGTATGCAACTCTGTGCTCAAATATGGGGTAAATTTATATGCCCAGAAAGTGATTAGAATTAGGATTCTTGGTATATAGCTGCACCTCTGAGAGCAGGATATCACATGGTCCAACTGAAGCACAGCTCTGCATTCTCTCCCACCCCTGACTTCACAATCATCTGTTCAGCAAATCACAAATCAGGCCAATGAATTTAATCTGGTGCACAGACTGGAGAGCAGGAAGGAAACTTCTGTGCTGGAATGCTTGGAGACCAGAGATGCGTGGAATGTACTGATGGGGGAAGAGTAAGACAGGAGCTGGCTCAGAATATTAGGCTTGAGGACACCACTCAGCATTAGTGCTCCCAGAGATAGTAGGCTCCTTGTGCAAGGACAGCCAGAAATACTGCAAGGGAGAATACTGTTAGCCCATTCAGTGGGCTAACTGGTGATTCATAAACCTCCTGATGCAAAGTCCTGCCTCCTGTAGGGAGTACTCTGTGCATATGTGCAGGACAGGTTTGGGAGCAGCTCTACAAAGGGGACCTGAGATCCTGGTAGACCAAGGAACCTGGATTCAATAGTGTGCCCACACAGTGATAAAGGCTGCCTTGAAGACAAGTGCTCAATTCCCCTGTGCCCAGGACTTGTAGGTCTGAATCTGGAGCAGGGTGTCCAGTTTTAAGCCTGCACTATTTGAGATACAGACCAGAAAGGATACAGTAAAGGGTCACTAAGACATTTAAGAGGCTGGAGGAAGGAACCCTTAGAGTCTGGCTACCCAGGAACCTTGGCCAGTAATGCCCAGACTGGTACCTGCCAACAGCTGCTCAGCACAGACACAGTAATGCTGGAGCAGGAGTGAGCTCGTGCAGGATACCTAACCTCACTGGTTCTTAAATATTCCCCTTAACCAAACCCATCATGTTTTGTTGTTTGCTAGGTCTCTGCTCTATCCCTGCTACCTTTATTCTTGATTGCAGTTTCATCCTCCGAAGACAACTGAGGGTAGCCTTTGTTCAGACATCCTCTGAAGTTTAAGTGCAGGCTCTAGTTATAATATCACCTTCTGTAACTGAACAAATAATGTTATTTCTCTACTCATGTATTTGAGGGAAGTCATTTATCCAGAACCACTAGTGCTAGAGTGGAATGAAAAACAGACTAAATCACAGACATCAATCACTTTGCAATAATGCCAGCAATTATTCCCAATACGTCTTCCTGAGAGCAACCTCATCTGTTCTTTTTATCTGTGATATTCATGCTACCATACAAAGTGATATTGACAATACTCACCAGATTAAGAGGCAGCATATTCCCCATCTATAAGCCTTTGAAAAGCATTTCGATTTTTCCACAGGTTTTCTGTAACTGCACCTGCTTCCTGCATCTCTGAGCAGGGAATGCAATTAATTACTTGGAGCAATTTTGGCAAAGAGTGTAGGGACAGTGTCTGGATAGCATCAGTGCTGATGCAGATTAGCAATGCCATCCTACAGGACACACAGAGAGCCAGAGCTTCCCTCTGATGCTGCAGCTAGAAGGGTCCTAACACTCCAGCTTAGATCCAGGGCTGCTGCATCATCATCATAACCTGCAAGACATCTCACCAGTGACATTGTGCTGCCTCTGTCCTGAGAGCCTGACAGGTGACCCAAGGCACTGCTCTGGAGCTGGCAGCAGGCATTTTTGTGATTCAAAGTTTCAAAGATTTGAAAATTAGCATCCCCATAGAAACTTCTTTTTTTGGAAGCCTGCTCAGGTGAAACCTCAGTAACTGAGTTTTCTTATAAATCACGTCTATTGTCATTTTAACCTTTTATTTTGTGACCACTCTTTAGATAAACATCCTGCCTCAGTGAGCAGGAAAGAAATTTTTTTTCTAGTGCTGTTGGAATTCTTCATCTCTAGGAAAGCAAGATTCCTGGGATCCAGATCCTGGTTTAATTTTTCACAAACACATCGCAGTTGCATCTACTCTGATAAACAGAAAACCAATTAGATTTTTTTAAAATTGGTTTTCTTTTTACATTAAAAAGTTTTAAGATACACTTAAAGTCATGTTCTAATATTCCATACACAATGATTTTTTAATTTCTAACAGTGACATTCCCAAGCTTAAATGATTTCTATGCTTCTAAATTCAGCAGACTCAGGAATTTAAATAGTAGGAAATGTCAAATCTAAAAGACAGTGCATCTCTGCAGCTATTTGCTGTATGTATGTTCAATAAGCTGGTTGCCTTTTCCACAGCACATCTCTGTGCACCTCAGCTGCTCCTCTGGACAGCGTACATGCTCATCTTCCTCGCCTGTGCTGATCCACGATGGCATTTAATCATGGAGCTCTATGACTGCACAGACTTCTCATTCCTACTCTTTGTTTTCTAGACTGCACCCTTAAAATTTGTAATTCTGAAAGGGATCCTAGCTTTAAGTTAATCTAGCTGATGTTCTTTAAGAAAAATTACGTACTCTATATTATCCTAACCTTTTGAAATGACAGTGAGTTATCTTAATTAAACTGGTAACACACAATAACCTTGCTCATTAATGGCTATTGATGAACAATATTACAATAGTAATTCGTTATGACAGTGTGATTGCAGTGTGTGACCACAGGTACACACGTGTAGGGGGCTTAACACACATAAGACTCTAAGTATCATTGTCTTAAAAAATATTTATTCCTTATGAAGAAAGTAGAAAGAGGATCTTCCATAACCCCCCGATATTCATAGTAGCTACACAGAATCAGATTGCTGCATTCAATCCCCTACATATATACCACTATGAAATTAATGTCATTAGGACAAAAATCACATACACCCAGTCACAAAGCATGGAATTTTACCCAAACACCCATAAATCCATTGTGTCTGCTCTATTTTAAAGGGCAAAACACAGAATCACTATTGAAAAAAAAAAAAGGATAACCCACAGAATTTTCATTGTATATATACGCCTTTGGATTTTCCCTTGAAACATAAAAAATACCTAGAATGATGAATTAATTGTTCATAAAGATGAAAAAAAGATATACTTTCTAGTTCATTAAAAAATCCCAAACGTCTTCTTCAATGGAATGTTTCTGACATGGCTGTGTTGATCGTCACTCAAATATCCCAGATTGAGGGCAGTTACAGCTGAATGTGTGTCATACAATCATTTATTTAGGTACCAAAAAAAAAAATTGCAAAACACCTGAATTTCCATGAAGATAGGAGAAAAGAAAAAAAAGACCAGAAAAGAGCAAATAAATGCCCAGGCAAGAAATCCAAGCGAAGTTTCTGAACATTAACACAGTAATATAAATATGAAAAGGTAGAAGACTACGACTATCCCCAAAGACATCAATATGGAATACACAATTACAGCTTTCAAATGTTGCTTTGGTTTTCATAAAACTACTTGCAACTGTGCAGAAAATTTCAAGATAGGAATAATTCACATCTGCAAATGGCCACAACTATTTGGAAAACTTGATAGTCTGTCTGTGCAATGAAGTCCTGAATGATCCTATTTAACGTTTGTGGTGTCAGAAGCGTATCCAGTTCAAGCTAATGATTTCAGTGCAACAGGAAGCAAAAGATGCTGAAATCTTTCATGGTTGCTTAGTAAGATCACAACAAAGAAACAACAATTCATGTGCAGCAGTGTTGGTTTGCTTCTAAGAAATTTGGTCTGGGCTGAAAATTCCCCCCACTCTTTTTTATCTAGGCATTTTTTCTAGAAAAATATAGAACTCACTTTTCTAAATCAAAAGTTACTGTCTTTCTGTCAACTTCCTACTGTACAGCCTTCAGTATGTTTTCCTTGATCAGGAAGTGTTGCTGTAAAGGTCTCCACTGCACATAATTACTAAATGTGTAATAAGGCTGTGCTGATTAACTAATGTAGTGTTACATATATATTTACAGAAGATGCTAGACCATCAGATATATTGGAAAATATTGTACTCTAAAAAACAAACAAAACAAAACACACGGATTGTCCCTCCAAATAATTTCTTTATTGCAGCTGGAATCCAGGCAATCCTACTGTACTTTTAATTCAGAATTTTTTACTTTTAATTCAGAACTATAGTTGGAAAAATGTTAAGGATTTAAGTATGTGCAGTGAAATATATGCAGGTTTGCCTTTTAGTTTTCCCTTCTGACAGTACTCTGGTAGGAAGGACAAAATACTCACTTCAACTGAAATGGAAAACACCAAAGGCTTTATACAGTGCAACAATGCCTAATTCTATTACTGACCACTTTTACAATTTGCTTCTTCCAAGAGCCACTCAATTCCATTTAGCAATCCATCTAAAGTTGCAGCTACAATGTCCTGCATCTGTGAAAATAACATAAAAAAAAAAAGTTAACGTATTAGAGATAACAGCTAACAGGATCTAACAGTACTTTAATATCACTCTGTGTCTATCTGTAAAGTCAGAATCACTGATATAAAATCAAAATTTTTATCACTAGTGTAAAGGTCACTTAGACAAAAAAGCTGTATAAGATTAAGGAAACAAACAAAAATATTGTGTCTAATAAAAATATTAAAGAGAAACTGTGACTAAAACTAAAAATTGTGACTCAGGAAATTTAGACTTCAATGAACTGAAGCCTCCTTGTTCCTTTCAAGATCATCATTTGTTCTTCCTGACATTCTAGCTCCATCTGAAGTCTCTTGAATGCTTTTGGGCAAGTCACTTAGCTCCTTGTGTTCAGACAGGCTAATGACTTGTCTTAGAGGACCAGAGAAATTAAATCCTTCACTTAAAAGGAAAGTTCATATTCTAGAATTGAAAACTGCATACTTGCTTAGTAGGTACCGTTAAGGAACCTGAGAGCCTAAATTAAATTCAAACCACAGAGAAACAGAAAATAAAGGTTTAAGAGCAAGTACCATCCAGGGCTGATGCAGCAGATTTAGTTGCAACTGATGTGCCACATAAACACACGGAATTCTTCTCACACCAGTGTGAGACACGCAGGACAAAAACAGCAGAGGTCTGTTCGGAGGCCCGAGGGCCGGATCAATCATTGCCAAAATACGAGCCAGCTCCTCCTGACGATCATGCTCTAAGAAACAATTTTATTGTATGAGTCTTAAGTTTATACAAATACGAGATGCTTTCGGTTTGTTTTTTTTGTTGTTGTTGTTGTTTTTTTGTTTTTTTTTTATTTCAGAGATGATGAGACGGACAGCTGGAAATGATCTTGTTCTGCTTTATCACAAGACTTATCCATCTGCCCTTATGTTACACAGAGATGGATGGCATTTAGATATTTAGTTATTTAAATATCTCCATAGATTCTACAGGCAGCCTATTTCAGTCCTAACATCAGAGTGTTTTCTGAGTATGTAAGAAATCAGAATTAAAACAAACCATTCAGAAATACTCATATGCTGCAGTCAGCAGCTCTTCCCTACTGAATGCACTTTTCTCTTAGTGTATGCCTACTAAGTTTTTTGCCTATCTCTTTTCCGAGTTAGCTCTTTTCCTCCATTAAAAGTTAACGAATGTAAAGATTATTACCATTTATCATCTTTCATGACTAAACTGATTTAGACTAATTGTGTTTTTGACTGTTTTCCTGGTGAAGGTTATTTCCAGCTATTACAGCACAAACAATGTATTTGCAAGTTTCTCCTATGCATACCCAGGGTTTCTGTTTGTTTTTTCGTTTTGTGTTTTAATACAGATCATTTCCCACATGTAATTTAGACAGCTACTGTATCAGTATGTGCCATAAACAAAACAAAGAGTCATAACCCCTAACAGGTTGATGAGAAAGCATCTAGGATAGGAGACCTCTTCAACAGGACAAGCCATGAATAGCAGATTTTGAAAGAATCAGAACATGGATTTTGATGTATTGCGGATTCTTTGTAATCTAACACTCTAGTTATTAATAAAATATAAAGAGAAACCCCGTACCTCTATGAGCTTCTGCATTAGCAACATAAATGAATCCATCAACTACTTTGCACACCTTCTTCACTTGAGCTATTACACTGTAGTGCGTGGCTTGCTGATTTCCTACTGTGCTGTTCTCTTGGTAAAACATCTTATTCACAGCAACAGCTTGCTCCTCCCTTGCTCTCCTCCTTTCCACACTGAAAGATATTTCAGTAGTTAAGTTAACTGAGAATGCCAAAACTGAATCTTGAAAGTCTAGGCAGCGCAGGAAAGGGACAGGAAAATGGGCTGAGCCAGGAAAAAAGTTTCATTTCTCCCTGTCCCCTCCTGCCCTCCTTTCTTTCTGAGTGCACCTACAGAGATGGCTACAAATCTGCAAGATGCTTATGAAAATACACTCCAGGATGAGTTTATAGAGTGTTTCAAAAGCAACTCAACCAAGATACAAAGAGGGACAGAAGCACCTGTAATGTACCTGTCGTACACCTCTGGCACATATACTGTTCGGAAAAGCTTTATTACTTCCATGTGAAAACTTAGTGGTTGAAAAAAGAAAGGAAAAGCAAAGGAATGCATTGAAACTTCAATTTTTAAGGGATATCCATGCATGAGAAAATGCACATGAAAGTCACATCACAAGACTATGAAGAAGAGTCTGAAATAAATGAGAAACTATACTTTTTATTAGGTGGAGAACAGATCTTACCTCGTGGTGGAATACAGTGTCACAATATTAAATTTTTGACTGTTGTTAAACTGAAAACTGACTCCTGATCCAATTCCTACAGAGAAAAATCAATCTATGAGATTACAGCTATTTGGCTACTGAATACAATTAAGTGGGAGTTCAAAAATTCCAGTGTTGCCACAAAATGAATATATTCAAACCTAGATATTGCTGTTAGGGGTAGCAGATTTACTATTTTACAATTAAACTTTATACATGGTCCAATGGATCAGACTTTTAATATAATGAAAAACCAAGTCAATGGTATTAAAACCATTTCTGTATTTCTGATTGCTAGACTTGTAGGTAGAAATCTAAATCAGAGAGGAGCCAGACTTGTGTTTATTAGCTGAAACTGGCATAGAAAAGGCTCCAGTCTGCTTATGACAAGCTGCACTGAAAAAAAAAATATGGGAGAAATAAAAAACTCACTAAAAATCATTGTCATGCTTCCTAGAAATACAATTTAATTATTCAAGTTCTGTGCTGAAAAAAACATTAGTTAAAAAGTAACACATTTTTGTCTCTGGCTTGGACTGAAGTCAAATTAGACTTTCAAAGCTACCCTTTTAAACATAAAAAAAAAATCCCTCACCTGTTCCTGTAACTCTTCTAAGTAAAATTTTTGATATCACTTGATATCAGAATACCGAATCATGTAAGGATCAGCCTTGAGTTCCTGTGTAAAATCACAACTGTGTTTTCTAGCCACTTACTGCAAGCAGTACTGAAAGAAAGGCCTGTCTGCATTTATCGATTACAACAGCAGCAGTAACATGGAAGTCTGGATGAAAATAGAAGTACTAGGAGCAAAATGATTCTTCTGAAAATGTCCAAATTTAGTTGTAAATTCACTGAAGCTATTAGTTTGTCCCAATGTTCACTGCATTTATCCTTTTGAACAAACCAGAGAGAAAACGGTTTGTTTTTACCATGATTCTACAGAGTTTTAAGGACACAGAAAAAAAATCATTCGTTTTCTTAATTTCTTCCTTGGAGTTTTTTTTTTGTGTTATATCTATTTACAAAATAAGAAGGCCAAAAGCCAAAACCATAATTACCATGAATTTGTCTATGAGGTAGTCCAGTTACCACCAGAATTTCTGGGCATGTCATCATCTTTTGTACCAGAGAGTTGTCCAGCTCTTCCAAACCTGGCCCAAACATAGCAAAGCGAGGTTCTGCCTGAGTGACCAGTGACTGCAAAAAGGAAGTCACAGCCCCATACAGGGGACGGCTCGATTTCAAACTTCTTCTACCCTGAGGACAGCTCCTTTTATATCTGTGTAAAATAGATGCAACTAGAAATTAAACACAAAATACAAAAGAGGTATTAATCAAACAAATTAACTTAGGTCCAACACTTCTTACGCTTTGCTACTGCTACAACTCAAAGCATAGGTCAAAAATTACAAAGTTCCAGCCTGATGGTTTCAAGCACCAGTACAAAGCAGGCAAAAGCATCGGTTGTTCTGAAGCCCGGGCTGCTGCTGGACAAATCTCCTCAAGGAAAGATCCAATGTGGGCTCCTTTATACCCAAACTGAAATGTTTCAGTTGAGATCAGCAGAGCTGCCAAGTGCACACAGACACAATGGAAATCAGTGACAGGTGGTTTCAAATATGCGATTCTGACCTAAACAGATTTAAATCCAATTTCAAAATCAGTACATATTTTGCAGGTCAAATTTTGGGTGTCAAATTCTGTTCCCATCTGTTAAGAGGGGATGAAGGGCATAGAGATTGCAGAAGTTACGTGTATTTACCACAAAGCAAGGCGTTATGGACCACCTTTGGAAAATGTAACTGCAAATAAATCAAAAATCCCAAACAAATCCACAGACCACTATTGCCAACCAAGGGAACTGAATGAAGTTTAGAAAAGAAATCACTGCAAAATAATCTAATTGTTTTAAGGGTTCTTCTCAGTCATCCAAACATATTTATTGTGTTGCTATGCTTTTCAGCTATACTAGCTGAAACCAGTTTTGTCTGACAGCCTTTGACAATCACAGCTAAAACAATACAACTTGTTATTTTGTGCCCACTCTGTGCAGTTTTTTATTATTAATCTTATTCCAAATAAGATGAAAAAAATGAAGAGTAATTTTACTTGCTACAGTTTGAAGACTTCTTGGAACTTTTATGAACTTGCTGTGGCACTGAGAGCAAAGAACACTTCTTTATCAAGATCAACAGTATGCAATATTTCTGTGCCACAGTAGACACACAGTTTACAAATAGCTTTTATTTTTTTATAGCATTAGCGTTGTCTTTTTTACAATGTTTTACATTCTTGCCGAGTTCCAAACAGAAAAAGCTGACCAGACCATGGAGCAACAGGAAATTGTATTTCTAAAATAAACAATGGATTTGAGACACATCAAAATTTAAACAGCAGCTTACAACAGAGCTTTGGTTCTGTAAATATGAAATATGCCGGTGGGCTGGATATTACTGCTGTAGGCACACTTGAAGTCATGTAAGAGAATATGGAGATACTTACACTGCCATGTAATCATACAGTGCATTGTCGCTGACCTCTGAAAAGGCTTTATGAAAAATCTCCTCATCTGGAAGTGATTTCCAATCAACAGATGTCCAAGAGGGGAGATCCCGCAAGAGAAAATACCTCCACAACAACGGGTCTTGCACAGCTGCCCTCCAGTAACAACTCGTGCTTCCTAAGCGGCACAAATCTTGGGGGGAGAGGAAGGACATGATTCTCAGCTGCACGTCGATCTGAAAACCATTGAGAGCAGCGCTTTAGCGACTCACCGATTCAGCGGTGCAGAAGGAACGGGTGGGACACAGCGCTTTGCCCCCCCATCCCCGCCCCGCCCTGTGCGGCCGGGCCCCACTCACCGGCAGCGCCTGCAGGCCGCTCTCTCCCTCCGCGCCGTCCGGGGCCGCCGGCAGCGGTGCGGGCGCGGAGCCCCGCTGGGTGCCCCGCAGCCAGCGCTCCCGGAGGCCGCGCAGCCCGTCCCGCACCGCGGCCTCCAGGCCGGCCCCGCGCTGCTCCGCTCCAGCCGCCATGGCGCCGCCCCCGCGCCGCGCACGCCCCGGCACCGCCGCCCCGGCACCGCCGCCCCGGCACCGCCGCCCCGGCACCGCCGCCCCGGCACCGCCGCCCCGGCACCGCCGCCCCGNCGCCCCGGCACCGCCGCCCCGGCACCGCCGCCCCGGCACCGCCGCCCCGGCACCGCCGCCCCGGCACCGCCGCCCCGGCACCGCCGCCCCGCACCTTGGACCGCGGTCCAGGAGTCCTTGGAATGCGTGTTTTTAATGCAACACAAGTATACATTGCGGTTGGAGAAAGAAAAGGAAAAAAAAAAAGTCAGTCACGGAAGAGCGTGCTCTTGTGCCGCAAGATTTCTTCCAGCGCAGACAAGGCAGTGGATCTCAGTTGTGGGATTTCACAAAGTAATGCAGCATTTGTTTTGCAGTTGTTGTGTTCCACCCTTGACCTTTTAAGGGTCCCTCACATACGGCCACATACTTTGTTAACATGATTCTCCCCGTTTCTTGGAAATCCAGCGATATGCTCTGTGGTCTGCTGCCCAGGTCACTGTTATACACAGGATCTACTGACTCAAGGCTTTCCTGCTTGCCTTCTCCACAGTGTTTCAGTCTCCAGTAGCACATTTCTCCACTGTACATCATTGCCAGTAAATGAGTGTCACTAAATATACCTGCAAAAGTAATTTAGATCAAGCACTTTATTGTTCCGCTAAAAGCAAATACACAGCTTGTTAATTTTTTTCAGCAGCATTGGGGAAAAAAAAAGTCCAGACAGTATAAATGTATAATTATATAACTATATAATGCCCAGAATAAAACCTGGATCAAGAGCATGCTCATTTCTCTGTCCAGTTTGGCCCTCCATAATGCTAAAATCTTTTAAGACTGCCATATAAATATTATTTCTATAATTTTGTTTGTCTAATTATCTCATAGAATTTCAGTCTTTCTTTACAGGCCCTTTAGCACAGGCATGACTGTACATATTTACTTTAGAGTATTTCTGTGCCTCCCACAGTTTAAGCCTAAAAGACACTGTCTGAGGTCATCTTAACTCAGGTTAACCAGCAGCAGCTTTAGTATTTAAATTCAAAGGCACATGTCTGTCTTTCACAAAAAGAAAAATCCTACTAAATAAATCCACAACTTGACTTTGCATTATGGAGCTACATAGCAGCAATGCCACTTTCAGATGAAAAGAAACAAGAAGGTGCTGCATCCTGCTACAGTCAGAGTAGAGATGTTTTTGAGTATGTCAACATGGACATCATTTCTTCAGCACCAGCTGTTTCACCTTACAAATCCCCTCTTGCTTTATCACCCTACCTGCATCACACTGATGCAGCCTAAGATCCTCCTGTAAACGCTCAAAAGGAATGAAACTTATATAAAGCTACATGAAGTGGTGACAGAGAACATTTGCCAACTCTAATCAATTTTGTGTATAATTTTTACCTGCATGAAGACTGTTACTGTGCTTGTACCTGTGCTGTCCTAGAGGTAAAAGGGAAGGTCAGTATGTGAACCTCTGGCACCCTCTGCAGTCATATTTGTGCCTTAAACATCTGTCAATTGTGAACTGGATGGTTGTAAAATACAGTGTGTCAACACTGCCAGCATAAAACACTACTGTGCAACACTCATTGCCTCAGTTCAGCTCCCTCCAGTGCACTCATAAAACACCACGAAAATGAGCACTCACACCTCCTAAAATTCATGAGTCAAAAAAGGTGTTGCCTGCTTATTTGCCTCATTTATTATCTTCTTGTTCTAAAAAGTGTCAAGTCTTGAACATAAATTAGGTCAAACAATAAAAACACGCAAAAAAGCATTTCATAAAGTGAAGCAGGTACTAAGAGGAGTGGGTTAAAAGGTATTTTGGAGTTGTTTTTTTGATTTTTTTACCTTCACTGAGTAATCTAGCTGTGTCTTTATCTTGAAGTGAGACATCTTCGTCTAGCTGAAGAGGGCATCTAAAGCTAAGCATCTTCATCAAGTAATGAACTCCATCATTAAGACACTGAGTACAGTTAAAAATGAGGAAAAAATAAGTTCCTGTTAAATTAATGATAGGCAGAAATACTTCCTTCTATGAAGTCCCCAAAATCCTAATTAAAGAGAAAAAAACTCCAAACAAACAAACAAACATCAACCCCCCTCCAGCCATATTTTAAAAGTGAAGAGCTTTAAAGCCGTATTCAATAGAAGCTCACAGAACATTTCCATCTCTTTTACCTTTTTAAATGTGGCAGCATTTTCTTGTAGCCATTCACTCCTGTCTTTCGCTGTGTGGCAATACATGTAAAGTAGAGCTCCTTTTCTCCAGTAAAGACATTCTAGCAACTCTGCACCAAGGATGTTGATGGGCTGAAATAAAATCCAACAAAATGGTCTAACACAAAAATAAACCACCTGAATTACTCATATGCACTGTCACACGTGTAAACACTGTGTAAATCTCTTACTTCAGGGGCTGTGCTTAACAGCAACACTCAGAGACAAGCCTAGCCTAACCTAACATTCTAGGTCAAATAGAACTGTCAACTGCCTGTAGAATCATGAAATGTTACCAAGAGAAATTCTGATCACACAACAAGGCATTTCAAACAGTATTTTCAGGAATCACTATTTAAATAGCAAAAGACTCGAAAATATTTCAAAATACTTCAAATTCTGCCCATAAAAAATACAAATACTACCAGCTCATTTCAGATGTTTTGTTCTTAAATAATGAACTAATTTGCCCTCTGGCTACTTACTTCTTCTTTTATGCCACATTCCCTCACTAGGTCTTCTGGTTCTGAAAGAACACAAATAAGTTCTTTAAGTTTTTGCAAGGAGTATTCTTCTGGAAAATCTTCATCAACAAGCTGGTTTTCCTCAAAATACGTAATGTCTAGGACAGCCTATGAAGACAAGAATACATACAAAGCAGAAATGCTACCATCAAAATAATCAAACGGTGGTGTGTTGTATTCGTTAGTGGTCGTTAGTTTATAAAACATTACAATTTGAAGGTATTCTTTAACATTTAGTTTACAAAAACGTTACAAGTTAGAATTACTGAAGGACTGGTGATGGTGAATGTAAAGCCAAACTCCCTTCTGTCCCTAGAGTAACAGCACAAACGACTCCAAGCTATTCAAGTCAAAAGCAGTTCTGTGCTTCACACCCCCAAGAAAAGAGAGGCGCCTTTCTGCCCCACCCTCGTTTTCTACATCAAACTGTCTCCCACACCCTATACACGCTTTTCTTGAAAGGGAGTTTGATGTCCATAACAAAGTACCTGGGTATAGAGCTGAAAAAGCGTGGAAGGATGTTCTTTCCCTTCGTTGCAGAGGTCTTTCAACTTGTCCAGATTAGCAGAGCCTTTCTCTAAGAAGGTATCTGAGGGAAGAACACAATGCTCCCTTAGCACCGATGAGCACTCAGCAGGAGCCTTACTCACTCTGCTTTTCCACATGGCTTTATCATTCATCCTTGGGGCATCTACAAGAGCGGCTGAATAATACAAGCAGGCCAGCCATCCTGTCAGACCGCACCTTTCATGGTTAAATTAAGGCCATCCGCGGCCAGGCTCTGTTGCTCCCAAGCACACAGGCCGTTTGCGGAGATGCCCTCAGGGCCCCCCTTCCCTCGGGCCCGCCCGTGCCGCTCCCGTCCCCGTCCCCGTCCCCGCCGCGCCGCTCACCGCGGGCACCGCTCCCCCGGAGCCGCCGGCCCAGCGCCGCCACCCGCGGCCGCAGCGCCGCCACGGCCGCCATGGCCGGCCCGCGCGCCGCCCCTCCGCGCAGGCGCAGCAGCGCGCGGCCGGGGGGCGGGAGCGGCTCGGGGGGAGCGAGGAGCGGGGCCCAACGCTGCCGCTGCGGCCCGGCCCCGCCGGGACACCCGGGCACCGACACCCGGGCACCGACACCCGGGCACCGACACCCGGGCACCGACACCCGGGCACCGACACCCGGGCACCGACACCCGGTCCCCGGCCCCGCGGGGACACCCGGCCCGGGATCCCGCCGCCCGGCCCGCCCTGCGCCTATTCACGGCTGGGACTGCAGTTCTGCAGGGCTTGTGTGGGTGTGAAAGCTCTTTCATAACAGACGCGTGTGGTGCCTGCGATGCCCTGTCCGTCTCCAGGGAGAGTCCCTAGCGTGGCCCTGTGTTTACAGAATTTACGGAATCAATTTACAGGTTGGAACAGACCTTTGGTTCCAGCCTGTGATCGAGTATCACCATATCGGTCAGACCATGGTACTGAGTGCCGTGTCCAGTCTTTCCTTAAACACCCCTAGGGACCGTGACTCCACCACCTCCCTGGGCAGCCCATCCCTTCATCTAATCACCCTTTCCGTGAAGCAATTTGAAACTGTTTTGTGAAATATTTTGTAAAATACTTTGTGAAACAGTATTATGTCCCACCTAAACCTCCCATGGCACAGTTTGAGACTATTTCCTCTCTTCCTATCACTGGCTGCGTCGGAGAAGAAGCCAATCCCCACCTGGCCCCACTCTCCTTCCAGGCAGCTGTGGAGAGTGATAATGTCACCCTGATCCTCCTTTTCTCCAGGATAAACACCCCCAGCTCCCTCAGCTGCTCCTCACAGCACTGGTGCTCCAGACCCTGCCCCAGCTCCGTTCCCTTCTCTGCACTCACTCCAGCCCCTCAGGGTCTTTCTTGCAGGGAGGGCCCAGAACTGGACACAGCACTCGAGGTGTGGCCTCAGCAGTGCCCAGCACAGGGGGACAATCCCTGCCCTGCTCCTGCTGGCCACACTATTGCTGATCCAGTCCAGGATGCCATTGGCCTTCTTGGCCACCTGGCACACACTCATGTTCGGCTGCTGTCACCAGCACCCTTTTCCGTTGCAAAAATTTGACTGGGGTATTGCTCCTATCAATTAATGCTTTCCAGCCTCACTGCAACATAGGTGTTGCCCATAAAACAAACTGAAGCAAAGGCAGCAAGGATCAAACTCACACTTACTTTTCAATAAAGGTGTTTTTTAAAAACTACATTT